ACCTTTATATACCTAATAAGCTAAATTTGTCATGCCTTTACTTCTTTTTCAAAATTCAATTAAAAGTAAATATTATGAAAAAATGCTCTTGCTTCTCTGGGACCTCATACACCTTTCCTTTGTGTTCGTTTGGTGGCACCCGTGCGCATTTGCCTGCAGTTGCTTATAACACATGGGATTTTAATGTTTGTCTCCTTCACTAAAAAGTAATTTTTACTCTAACTCCTTATTGACATTAATTGACTGACACAAGAATGAATGCAAGATGAAACATCAACAAATATTTATGCCATGGATGGGTGAATAAACAAAGGAAGATGACCTGAAAATCAAGGCTAGGCATAAAAATGTGGTCAGTGGTTTTCTTTGTTTGCAGATTTAGCTATAGGCTGCTCACAGCAACAACAAAAATGATTATCTGACAGAGTAGATTCAGAATATATCTTTTTGTGTTGGTGGTCCTTGATCCCTTGCCTTCTCGTGTGCATTATTCATGTCATCAAACTACTGTATTTGCACCAGTCAGTCCTTTGACACTTTAGGCATATTTCTATAACCAGGAGATATCGTTCTTTTTTGTTGTTGTTATTTATTATACTGATATAGTTAGGCTTTGTGCAACCACCCAAATCTCATCTTAAACTATAATCCCCATAATCCTCACAGGGCAAGGGTAGGGCCAGGTAATTTATCATGGAGCAGTTTCCACCATGCTGTTCTCGTGATGGTGAGTGAGTTTCAGGAGATCTGATGGTTTTGTAAGTATCTGGCATTGCCCCTACTTGCACTCATTCTTTCTCCTGCTGCCCAGTGAAGGGATGCCTTCCACCATAATTGTAAGTTTCCTGAGGCTTCCCCAGCCATGCGGAACTGTGAGTCAATTAAGCATCTTTTCTTTATAAATTACCCAGTCTCAGGCATTTCTTCACAGCAATGTGAAAATGGACTGATACATATACTTTGTTTTGTTTTAACTCATGTTTATTCCCTTTGGATTTCCTCATATATATATTTATATATCTTTTTCTCTTTCACTGTTCAGATTTCTACCTTTCTGATAATTCATCCTTTCGATGACTGTCCATGATTCTGAACTAGGTATATGGCATTGCAATGTACATATCAGAGTTATATTTTTGTTCATCATCATACAGATCAATACACACAAATCTTCATTTATTTCGGTTTTTTCTCAACTCTCTGTTTTCATTATGTGTCAAATATGATAAGAGAATTATCTTCTTTGTTAAGTTAATCAGTTTGGGTTGTTGTAAGCCATAAATTGAATGATTTATAAACAACAAGATTTACTTTCCACAATTCTAGAGAGTGAAAATCTAAATCAGAGTGCCAAATAATGGAGCTCTGATGAGGACTTGCTTTTTGGTTTTCAAATGTCTGCCTTTTTATTAGGTACTCTCAAAGCAGAAAGCAAATGAGAGAGCTCTCTGGGATTCCTTCTATAAGGACACCAATGTTATATAAGATGGCTCAGCCCTCATGATCTAATTACCTCTGAAAGCCCTCCCTCCTAATACATCATATTGGGAGTTAAGATTTCAAAATATGACTTTTGGAGGATACAAATATTCAGCCCATAACAAGTTGCAATAACTAAATAGTGTGGAAAACATTATGCATTACATATGAACATCCCTTTACTCTATAATTTTACTCCCTCTTCCAGTTCACTCTATAATATGCTAACTCAAAATAAATCTACGTCATAATAAAATTTTTTATATTTCATCAGAAACACCTTAGTGTGCCTGGAAACTAATGCAGTTTTTAAACATCTATTTGCTTTTTAGAGTATATATATTCTAAGACTAAGAAACCTTCATCCAAAAAATATTTCAATATGATTTTCAAGAAATGTTTTAATCTCAAATATTAACTTACAGACTTTTAACTGGGATCAACAATTCTATTTTTTTCACTGATTCTTGTAATGTATGAGCTATGTCCTTTTTGTTTTGATATGCAGTTTCATGAGAGTATTGATAGATAGATACCATACATATATAGAGTAATACTGAATTTCACATCAAAAATATTTTTTACTATTTATTTATTCTGCTGTTGCTTCCTTAAAATATTTCTCAAATGTTTAAATTCACTCTACAACTATTTTCAGGGTCATTACTAAAGTTTAGCTATGTCATAATGCATAAAATACATTTTTCAGTAGCTTTGGATATAAAAACATTCAGGAAAAGCCACTAAGAAATTAGACAACCACCTCTAAACCAGGACTGTATGAAAACTACTACACATTATTTGAATGACATTAGAAAGAACACAGGTTTGGAAATATCCAGAGGTTAATTCTTAAATGAATCAAAACAATAATTTATTCAACTTGAAAGTATACCCAAGGTGTTCCAAAGTATGACATTAATGTGAATTCAACTTTTTACATTCATTAAAAAGTTCATGTGTTCTTTTTATCTTTATCTAAAAGCAAAATATAACTCACTAAGGACCTACATGTTTTCTTTTTCAGATTTTGGCTTGCAGTTAATTTCTGCATCATTTCAGGTTGAAATTCTGCTGTTGATGTCGATACAGCCTTTCCCCATGGAAATTAAATCTACATCTTAAATAACTTCAATGTGAAGCGTTTGTTTTGTCAAGAAGATTCCTCTTGTGGTTGTATTCCCTTCTTTGCTGGGAAGTGGCATGTAGTTCAGCATCCACACTCAGGCTTCCTGCTGCCATTATAAAAGTGTATGAAGCCAACTCCCGTGCAGAAAAATGGCTCTAGGACTGACATATTACAAGTAATATAAAAAGCTAGTGTTCAAGGAACTACCACAACAATGAAATATTTCTTCCTCAGTCACCGCTTCTCCAAATAAAAATGAAAAGAAACAGAAACAGATGCAATGTAGCTTAGCAGGGATCAATTCAACTTTAAAATGTACAGTTTTGTAAATAGTATGTTTAACTGTATCTGCATACCTTACAGAAAATTTAATGCAATTTTTTATCATAAAATATAGTTGACAAGAACTTTAACAAAAACTACATAAATATATCTATTCATTCCAGAGAAGAGTCCAGAATAAAAGAGAGCATCAAGATTGGGGCAGGGCCAGGATAAAAATAATGGAGCTTCTGGAGCGTTAGAATACAGATTATCTCCTGCCTCAGTAAACCCGGGAGGCGGACCATGGAGTGAGCTGAGATCCGGCCACTGCACTCCAGCCTGGGCGACAGAGCGAGACTCCGTCTCAAACAAACAAACAAACAAACAAACACACACACAAAATACAGATTATCTAGATATGTCTAAGTTTACGTCAGCACTTGTTTACCATGTCACAGATCTTGCCACGGTTGCTTTCTTGTTTTCTGCTTAGAATAAGAAAAGAGATAGACAGGCCACAGTGGCTTAAGCCTATAGTCCCAGCACTTTGGGAGGATGAAGCCAGCAGATGGCTTGAGCCCAGGAGCGAAAGACCAGCCTAGGCAACATGGCGAAACTCCATCTCTACAAAAACAAAAACAGGAAAATTAGCCAGGCATGGTGGCGCATGTCTGTAGTTTCGGGTACTCGGGAGGCTGGGGCAGGAGAATTGCTTGAGCCTGGGATGTCGAGGCTGCAGTGAGCCATAATCACACCACTGCACTCCAGCCTGGGTGACAAAGTAGGACTCTGTCTCAGAAAGAAAGAAAGGAAAACAGATATTATTTTAAAAAATACATCGAAAGCTGTGAGCTGTGTGTGCTAGTTTACAGAATGCTCTTTACATCTTGACCAATGCCATCATTAAATCAATAATGATCTAACAATATATAATATTTCAGATGTTACTCTTTGGAATAATGTAGTTGTACACAGAGGCAGGAATTTGAAACTCAGAATTTAGAAAACTAAAATTCTTTTTATTTTTTTTCCCAAAAACGTGCCATGAGACAGAGTGCTTATTCTTCATAAATACCTAAAAGAGAAAAGAATGTTGATCCATGTTTTAACTTTATATATATAGTTTGTGTGACAATTTAGCTGAAGTTATTTTAATTAATTTATCTATTTATTTGGCTGCTGTTTCAAACAAAATGTATTAAGTAAGCACATGACCAAACACAGCATAAACCAACTCTCACATTTCCTTTCTCTAAAAGAAGACTCAAAATGCATGCACACACACAAACACACACAGACACACACACACACCCCAGTAGGCTTAAAATGTCTATCATTGACTACTACTAATTTTATTTTACTGAAATTACACTAGGTTATTGGAAAAAGAAGAATGAGAGCTGTGTATATTGAAATATTTGACAGATCTAGTACTCTCCTTAGAATCTCCAGATGTCTTCTGGTCTTAGCCTTGGAAAGGTAAACATTAAGTGAAGGAAAAACTAGGCACTAATAATGTATAATTGAAGAAAAGGCTTTAATTACTGTTTTCCATTTTATGCCCACATTATTTCATTAAAATGTCATTTTAACCAAGTTCAAAAAAAGTCAAAGAACAATTGCTTGACAAATATGAATGAGCTTGCTTTGATCAGAGAGGTTAAATAAATGAAAGAATGCTATACAATTTGCAGTTAATGTTTCATTTTCATATTTTGAATATTTAATTATGTAAATTCTATATTTTGTGTATGACAATTACTTTGGTTATTACTTTGGCAAATGATTGAATAAATTTTGATAAAAATATTTCATAACCTTTAGTAGGGTTAACAATAATTTTTTAAGATGGTATTTATAACAACCTAATTAATTTCATCTAAACATGTTTCTTTTTGTAATGCATGGAACTTTGCACATTTATTTCCAGTTAATTTCAGCTAATATTTTCAGGATGTGGTATCAATTCCAGAAATTAGTACATTATATTTTATTTACACATTGTTTATAAGATTATCTTGACAAGCAAAGTTAGAAAAAATGTTATGTGTTAATTTATGTAACGGGTTTTGTTAGATTTTGAAACATTTTATCTGGATCCAAGAAAATACAAATTGTGAGACATAACAAATGGAAACGGAATCCTTTATTAGTTTTTATTTTTATGCAAGCTGAAGAGCTTATTGACAATAAAGAAGCCTTTGAAACTTTCTGTCTAAAAATATTAAAATTCAAGACTTTCCTAGAACTCAGTGGATAATGAAATTTGATCACTATAAACTTGAGAAACACTGTCACCTGTAGCAGTAAAAGAAACATACTGTGTTTTATGTTTAAGCAAATATATTATTTTCAATCAAAAACTTAAATTTATAAAAGTGTCTAATTAAAATTCTGCAACTAAAAATAAAAATTAACAAGTATCACATACCCAAGTCTACCCACTCCAGTAATATCACACTTGTCAGAACAACATTGTATTTGACTACCATTTGAGTATGTGTCCTGTAGTTCACTGCAATCTGTCATCACGTATTTGATTTTTATATGGCCAAGCAAGTGACTTAAATGAGAATACAGTAGAAACTGTGCCTCTGCAACTTTTTAGGTTTCTAAAAATGGCACTGATCTCTCCTATTACATCTGGAAGGCAATATTGCTCTTATGAAGTCTCTTGGCTGTGGTTTAAAGAACTTTTTCAGTCTTTTCCTTGACCTTTCCTATGACAATTATTATTCATTCACATTGCAAGGAGCTAGAGTGAGTCTCCTGCCAGTTACTATGTATGTACATCTCAATTATGAATTCAGGAAGTAAAGTTTTATTGTGCATATATAGACTCATTGGATCCACTGTGAAATGAATTTTTGGTTAAACTAAATGTATCACCTGATTTTCATACGTACCGACTCTTGAAGGGAGGCTATGGTAAAAGTTGACTTTCCTTCAATTCACACACTATACAAAAAATGTGGGTGCTCCCTTTTCCATATGTACCTACAGATTCTTTGTGAGTAGAGGAAGAATATTATCTTTACAGTATATATTTGCTCTGGCATCAGGTCATTTCTCTGAAAAACATAGCTTCTGCTTTAATCGTTGGACTCTCAGTCTGAAAGTTGGCTCAGGCTTGGAAAGCAGATGAGTGATTGAAATTTCCACTGGAGTGGCTGATATTGACCTCCTGCTTCTCCACATTAGCTGCTTTCTGAATATATATGTACACGTACAAAAATCCTTGTTGGCAGACTTTCTATAGTTCCCCTAAAAACTGTGATGATAGCTTATCCGTTGTCTTAGATTCCTACATAATAGTGTTCCTTAATTGTTGAGTTGCTGATAACTGGCATGGAAATTATGTTGGTCCTTATCTCTCTGTACTGATTACATGCTACCACCTTTCCTTTGCTCGTCTAGAACTGTATATCATCTTCAACATTTGTTTCATAACATCATTACTTGCTAATCCTTCTTGGTCTATGGACAACAGCCACTAGTTAAGCCTGTAAAAAGTGCAATCTTTATAAACTTAGTGAAACTAATGTTATTGGGAATCGCGAAGTGCACAGTCACTCCAGCTTGTCCAGTGCCTCAGCCTTTATATTGGTTCCACAACACTCTTTCAGGGCAGGTCTGGAAACTTGACACTATGTAATGTGATCCGTAGTGCTTCCAAGAGCCATGCCTAAGGCATACTGGGACTGATGTCAGATGCTCTTGAAATCCACTGAGTTCGGTGTTCCTTTTAAACCCTAATACTTCATATCATCAAAGTCTCTCTCATCCAGCTTTATATTCTGGTCTAGTAATTGCAAGATGTGGCCACCAGGACTGCTTTTTCTGTTTCCTTTTGGCACATATTAACCAGGTCTGGTGACTCCAACCATGAATGATCTCTTTTCTCATATATAAGGTCCAGAAGTTCTAAAACCCATGGAAATGAACTTAACCATATCTTCTGGTTAAGTTGCCAAGAGGGAATGTGGGAGAAGATCTCATGGAGGGAAGTCTTCTTCTGCAAAATATCTGCCTCAGGGGAGTCCAGTGGAAATTCTCCAGGGGTCTGTTACAGTCTAAAAAAGAAAAGTGAACCACTTCTTCAGGCTTAGAGGGCTCGAGGAGATCTGGTTCTTTAATGTTCCTGAATCACTTATCTCAGGACCCAGGACAGTCTCTGGGTCCTGTCCTTTCCCTTTATGACCCTAATTTTGATTTGCTGAGAAAACAGTTCAATTTGAAATTCTGCTCCTCTTATAAGCAGATCTTGGGCCAGAGCATCAGCATCAATTACATTCCACTTCCAGGAAATTACGATCTCTTTAAATAATTCCACGGATATATTGTAACTTTCCTACCACACATTCAATTAGCAATTGGCTGATTTGAGTCTATCATTTTCTCTGTTAAAGGCATTAGTGATTATAGCAACAACCAATAAATTCCATCGCCCTTGTATTAGGTTGGTGCAGAAGCAATCGCGGTTTTTGCCATTAAAAGTAATTTACTTTTTTTTTTTGCCAATATGTTTAATGGCAACATGTAAACTATACGGAGGCCTGAAATGTCCAGCATAATTTGACCCTGCATTAGTTTTCTTACTTATATCCTACTATTCTCTCTCTTGCTCCTCTCTTGAAGCCATAATGGAAAGATATGACCTCAGCCCTGAAACTTTGCACTGTCTTTTTTATATACTTTCAACATTCTTGCCCTAGAACACAACATTACTACCATTTATTTTTCTTTGTTTTTTGATTACATATTATCTTCTTAGTAGATATTCTCTTATAACCCTACTTAATATTAGACTCTGCAACTTCTGGAAACCTTTTCTCCTTCCCTGCCTTAGTTCTGAAGTATTTGAAAACTTAAAAGTAGTTAGAATATTTACTTGGTTTAATATTTGTCCATTATCACTAAAAATAGAAGTTCTAAGAACAATTGTGTATTTGCCTCACTGCTAGAATCAGAGTCCAAAGCAATGCTGACACATAGGAAGCACCAAGTCACTATTTGTTGAATAAATGAGAGAATGAATGAAAGGAATAAAAGATGATAAAAAACTTTGTATTTTAGCAAAAATTATGATCCAATAATTATACAATTATTAGTGGATGCTCTGATAAATATCTGAGTGATTTAAATAGCATAAATCACTAATGAAATCACTCGGATATTTATCAGTGAATCCATTAAGTGAAGAAACTACTTGTGTCTGAATAATGCCACACCATTATCAATAACAAGGAGTGCAATGCATACATGAAAATCAACAAATAGAGAGCAAGTAAACTTTGGACTTTGTGTTTTAGATACGTTTTATTATGGATTATATTGTTATTTACTTTGAGTCTCTATGCAATCAAAAGTTTGAAAAATAGTTATGTTAGGAAAAACTTGCTTATTATAACACGAGCAATGTAAGATCACTTTGGAATGATTTAATTTAATTGGTTTATGGGTTAAAAGTTATCAGGTTAGGTTAAATGTGTATAGAAAGTATATTTATGCATGCTTAAGTACATAATCAGTTGTTCTGATAAATTGTCAAAGAGTGAAGTTTCTCACATATCACTCTTACCTGAATAATTTTTAAGGTGGCATCTTTAGGAGCTTAAGAAGGAACTATTTTTGTTCCAGCTGAAAATATTCTATTTGATGGATTAAATAAGGTTTTTACATAAAATTGTATGCATTGCAAGCCAGTTATTTTTCAAATTTATTTCTTTCAAAAAAAAAACACAATGCATCAGTAGAAATCTGTGATTTTTCTCCATCATTTAAATATAAAGGGAGCACTGGAATGTGTTAAATGCATAGAGTTGAAGCATGATCTATAGATTTATAGGAAAATCTGCAGATAATACCATCTCAATATGATGCTACCTCATCCTTGTCTTCATTTTAAAACATATTTCATATTTTAAAGAAAAACAGCATATTCTAACTTGTAATGGAATGACAACTTTATATTTCGTATAAAATATTGTTCCAATCAATACCACCTGCAAAATTTTACATATTAATTGATCTTCTCTTTCAGAGTACTCTTCCTACAGAAAGTAGTGCATAAGCTTCTAACTGATATAAGAGGAAAAAGAAATACAATATCAAAACTTAATTCCACAAAATATCCTTTTTCATCCATAACAAAGACAAACTCATAGTGACTTGAAAAGATTAGCAAATACATACTTAAGAAGAATTCTGGTATATTTATTTCAGTTATTTTGTTTTCTGTATGGTCTCTGATCCAACAGGATCCCAATATCTCCTTCATTATCACACTCCTATCTGCCTATTTTTTCCCCAGGCTTTCAGCTAAAGCAACACAAGCATCTCAGAAAATATAAGGTAAGTTACCTCAAAAATAGTTATTACGTAATCTAATTTTAAATGAAGAGAAATTCAATCAGATGCCAAATTTATTTTCAATTGTTACAACTGGGACCTACTCCGCTGGTAAGAGTCGAGGATTTTGAGGCATGTTGTCAGGCTGTACCATGTAGTGTGATGTAGGAAGTTAACCTGAATGAAAGATAGGATGATATTCAAATGTGAGAGAAAACCTAGAGTTTATACCAAACTGACTTTTCTCTAACACTCTCAACTTCACATTAAAATCCTGACATTTTTAAGCCTCTTTTTGAAGTGACTTTATATATCTGTTTGCATATGCAGTGGAGCAACCAATGTTGATGCATTTCTTAAGAAAGGCATCACAGAGAAAAATATTATAAATTCTGATATTCTAGTTTCCACAAAATGAAAAGCACAGAACTTATGCTACCTTTACTTGCTTTATTTTTGAAATATCTTCACATTAGACGTCAATAATGTGCACCTGCACACACACACACACACACACATTCACACACACGCACACACACAGAGACCCAAAACTTTTATAAATTTAGAGTAAAATTATAACACATTGAATTGTGAACATTCAGGATAAAAATAGCATTACTAACTTAGCCGAAATATATAAAAATGTTACTACCACAGGTAATTATTTCTGATACTTAAGGAATTAACTTTTTTATGTACACCAGAAATTCAGAACTGTACTTCTAGAACACTGGAATTGGTTCTCTTTTTCATGATACTAAAGGAAGACTGTGGAAAATCTACTCTTCTTGACAATGAAATGCATATTTGGTCCTCAGCCCAGCGTGGTGGCTTATGCCTGTAATCCGACCACATTGGGAGGCTGAGATGGGTGAATTGCTTGAGCCCAGGAATTGGAGCCTGGGAAACACGGGAAAACCCATCTCTTCAGAAACATAGAAAAGTCAGCTGGTCATAGTGTTGCACACCTGTAGTCCCAGCTACTTGAGGTGCCAAGGCAGAAGGATTGCTTCAGTTTGGGAGGTTGAGGCTGCAGTGTGCTGTGTTCACACTGCTGCACTCCAGTCTGGGTGACAAAGTGAAACCCTACATCAAAAAAAAAAAAATGTGTATGTATATACATATATATATATAGTCTTATTGAATAGAGAAGAGAATTAGTGAATTAGTGTCCATCTTTATTTTGCTGTTTAATCAATTAAAGCAGATGCCAAATTTATTTTCAACTTTTACTACTGGGACCTACTTCATTGATAAGAGTTGAGGATCTTGAGGCTGGTTGTCAGGCTCTACCAGTCCAAAGTCTGGAAGGCTCGGATTAAGGAAGAGTCAATACGATTAGGCAAGAGGAATTCTCTGTTACCCAGTGGAGGGTCAGCCTTTTTACTTTATTCAAACATTCAACTGATTGGATGAGGCACAGCCACATTAGGGAGTGCAATCTGCTTCACTCAGTCTATCAATTTAAATGTCAGTCTCATCCAAACACCCTCACAGAAACACCTAGAATGTTTCACAAAGTATCTGTGCACTCCATAGTCTAGTCAAGTTGACACAAGAAATTATCCATCACAATATCCTTCTGATTTCCTTTACTGTATATATTTTAGAAGTTGCCTTTGTGATTACCATGGGGATTGCACTAAACATTACATTTATAAGTTTCAATAACATAAAAAAACTCTAACTCTACACAGTTCTGTCTCCTTATCCTTTACGTTGTTGTTATCAGAAATTACATGTTAATATTTTTTTGCTCAATAATATATATTTATAATTACTTTTATATATTTAGTTTTGAAATTATGTAGGACATAAAAAAGTGGAGTGACCAAACAAAAATTTTATAATACTGGTTTTTATGTTTGCCGATATAATTACCTTTACTGGAGATTTTTGTTTCTTCAAATGACTTCAAGTTACTGCCAAGTGTTCTTTCATCCGAACTTCATATTAACTCCCTTTAATATTTCTTATAGTGCAGGTCTAGTAGTTATAAACCTTTTTGTCTTTTGTTTATCTGATAAAGGTCTTTCTCATTTACTTAATTTTTTTTCTTTAAATACTTTAAATATGTCCTACTACTTCTTCTACTCCCATAGTTTCTGAAGAGAAACTGTTCGTTCTATTGAGATTCCCTTGTAAAGGGTGAGTCACTTCTTTATTGCTCTTTTCAAGATTTTTCTTTCATCTTTGTCATTCAATGGAGTGATTATAATAGTCTCAGTATGTGTCTATGTGAGTTCCTTCCTACTTGGAGTTTATTGAATTTCTTAGATTTGTAAGTTTATGTCTTTCAACAAATTTTGGAGGTTTTTGTCATTGTTTCTTTAAATATTCTTTCTTTTTTTCTCTTGATTTATTTTCAGGAACTCTGGTAATGTGTGTTTCGTTCTACTAGATAGTGTTTCACAGTTCCTTAGGTTCTGTTCGATTTTATTCTTTTTTTCTGCTCTCAAAATTCAAATGTTTTTATATTCAATCAACCAAAGATTAATTTGAAGATTTGTGTTTGTTCAAATCTGCTTTTGTACTCCTCTAATAAAATTTTATTTAAGTAATTATATTTTATTACCAGAATTTTTGTTTTGTTCCTTTTTGTGATTTCTACGTCTTTGATATAGTCATTGTGTTTATACCACACTTCCCTTATTTCTTTTAGTCCTTTGACCATGCTTTATATAACTCTTTGAACACATTTTAAAGTTATTGGAATATATTT